TGTACATGTACATGTGTACATGTATTGGCACATAAAATGTACCGGCACACATGTACGCAAGCAAGGTACATGTAGGCATTGATGTCAACCCAGTACCAATATTGAATTTTACCAATTGTTTTTTATGCTTAAATATTATAAGTGTACGGTACCGGTACATGTACACGATATATACGTGTACATGTATGTTTGTGTACATCAATAGTTATGAGGTACCGGTACTTACTAAGGTATTTACATGTACATGTAAGTAAAGTACCGCTACACAACTATGCAAAAATGGCTCATCCAACAGCAAGCAGTTTTCTTCCATTTCTTTTACGTTAAGTTCTTAAAATAAAGCAGTAAGTAAGAACACTTTGTATATTTAGGGCCTTTTTAATTTGTACATCTGAAGTACATGTACATGTACATGTAACTGTTCATGTAACTGAAATGAAACTTAGAAGTGAAATGAAACTCCATAAAAAAACTTGTCAAATTCCATTGTTAACATGTAAAATGAACATGTATGTATGTATGTCCATAACTACATGTACATGTACACATTATGTTAAACCAATTAAAATGCTCTCCTTGTATGCTTCATGTGCACATGTACAAATGTACATGTACCCGTACAGTCCTCACTACACGCCCACGTTCTTGTCAAATGACAATTATCTTGAATCGTCAACGTCCAAAATGCCATCTCTTTTCCTTTTTTTTCCGCATGATTGCAACGCAAATGATGTGCCTGCATATATGCACGTCGAGTGTTAAACATAGATATTTTGTTTCAACTCTTCAATTTGGACAGATATCGGCCGGGTAACGGTACGTACATGTAGATGTATGTACATGTAGCGTTTACCATGCACAGGGTACCAGTACCATCAGTGACTTTTTCTTTACCCGTACATAAATGTATACGTTGTATACATATAATTTTCTTCAATAAATCAGCCAAATATACATTCATTAATGAGGCTTGAAGGCTAAATGTTGTTTCATGTACATGTACAGTACGTGTAAGCACGCCCGCAATTTGTACACGTACATGTACATCCGTGTACTTCGATATTTTTAATTTGTGCATATTTATTGTACCAGTGATGACGTCCCTTCATGCATGCATTTAAAAGGTTGGTTTTCCATGATTGCAACTGCGATGCTAATTTTGACGTCACAAAACATGTGTGGAAAAGAAAATCACAATTTCAGTCACAAAGATTTGCTGAGACATCCCAAATTGGAAGTCAAACTCTTGCCAAGAACTTGACTGTGGCTTTTTTTATAATTTCAAAAAAAATAAACATAGTACAAAATAACTCATGTCTCACAGCTATAATAAATCACCCACCTTTCAAATGGATAAGTCCATACCCCTTTATATAAAACTTTGTATTTTCCAATTCTTATTTCGTTCATAGAGAAATTATGTAAAATGTGTAGAATCTCTGTATACATTATTGAATATCATGACTTCTTTTTGTCATGCAGCATTAGGCCTAATTTGTTGTTTTTGACATAGAAAAGTGTGAAATTACCGGTACAAGTATTTTTTTTGGCCAGCATTTTTTTGAGTGATTTTTTTCTCTAAACTTTGATGTACATGTATGCTGATTACAGATGCTGGAAATGCTTACAATTGCTTCTACTGAATGACTGTTTCTGACAGTTGATATTTTCACCAGTAAACAGATAGATCTAGAAAATCTGTCCGTGGCAAAAAAAAATCCTCACTGCCGTGAGTACACGGCACGTGTACAATTGCACGCATGTACAATGTACATACATGTACGTACGTGTACACGTACATGTATACATGACACTTTAACCCTAACCGCCCTGATCCTCAAAAATCCTTTTTGCAAATTGGAGGAATTTGCAGGATTGAGGTTACATGGCCAAAGTGCGTTGCTGATTTCGGAGTACACACTGTGTCAAGGTCTTGGGCCGGACCTTGTGTTGTTTATGCTCAGCCGTGCATAAATTTAGTCCTTGATTATACACGTACTTGACATCCTCCGCACTGCTCCAGGATGTCACTGCCTCTGCCTCAGCCTATTGACAGTCATAGCCGGAGGATTTTGCAGGATTCAGGCAGTGGTTAACCCTCCATGGACCATATTCAAGAAACAACGGAGGAATTTGCAGGATTGAGGCTATATGCTATTTTTCCATGAGGCCAATTGGAGGATTTTGCAGGATTGAGGCTACATCCTAGCAAAAAGGCCTAGGGAGTTAGGGTTAAGGGTGGCATGGGTGGCTAGTGCGTCAAGTGCTCGCCTCTCAACACTGTGGCCCGGGTTCGATTCCAGCTTGGATCACATGTGAGTAGAGTTGTTCGTTGATTCTCTCGGACTGTGCCACAAGGGTTTTTCTCCGGGCTCTTCAGTTTTCCTCCTTTTGATCTCGGGCTGTGCTCTGTGGTCAGACATGGGTTGTATGGCAGCAGCCTAAGGCGTCTTTACGTTTTATAATGTACATGTAAGATCTTCCTTACCGATGAGTGTACAAATTCTCACAGATTCTGACCCATTCCGCAATACCATTGAAGAAAGACTCCAAGCTGTATATCCAGTTTATTTATTGATCCAAACAGTAAACGACTAAAAACGATTAAAACGGCTAAAAACGATTACATGTAAAACGGCTAAAAACGATTAAAACGGCTAAAAACTATTAAAACGACTAAAAACGATTAAAACGGCTAAAAACCGATGCACACCCTTGTACATGCCTATCGCTGGACCATGTTGTAGCCGGGTCCTTCGTAATTCAGCTTCTCAGCTGCGAGTAAGGACGTTTACATGTAAGCTTCCTCCCCCAAATGTGTGGAAAGTGTACAATGTACGTGTACTTAATGTATAAGCCAGCCAAATACTATAGGCTAGCCATCCTGGGCCCCATCAACCAAGATTACAATTCTTGCGCCAAGGCCTTTGTTATTAAGAGAAACCCTGGGGTTTAAACCAAGTGCTGTACCGCTTTTCAACAACAGCTCACGCTATCAATACTAGCGACTTATAATCCCCAACCAAAAAGCCAGACACCTTTCTTTTCCTGGTCCTCATGTGGCACACATGACAGTCTCAGGTAAAGCCACAAAATGTACGTCCCTGGTGCATTTGGTAATTTTTTGTCATATTGCATTACGGGTATCACAGCGCTACATCAACTTTACACCCAGCCACTGCTTCCATGGAATAAAAAAGAAAGTCCCCTCCCCCCAGGACATCTGTGGGTTATCAGGTGTGACTTTTGTTTACATGGACAAAGGATGTGTAATAATGATATAAGCTACAGCGCAATAACCTCAGCGAATCTTTGTCCCCCCCCCCCCCTTCCCCGTTATTTCCCCTGAGGCTGTGACTTTAAATGTTGCAGGAATCGACCAACAAAGCCCCACACCAGACAGTCTCTTTATTATTAACAAGGAAGCAGGAAGCAAACAGTTCTCTGACACTTGAAACCGTATACGATTACGTTTTTTTGTGTTGTCACACTATGTTAATGCGGTGTTCAAATTCCCAATTTTACCTTGGATAATTCATGAAACTCTGAGAAGACAAACATTCAATGTACGTGTAGGTGATGTACCAGTAATTAATAACTAACAAAATTGTTGATTTTAAATATCAAAACAGAAATCCCACAGGTTGAAACTGTGATCAGTCCTAAGACATCTTCAGGCCATTCACCGTGTACGTATTTGTCTAACGGAAGTGTTTTGAAGTCAAACTCATCTTAAATTAAGTGTATTCTAAGTTAATAGGGAGGTTTCGCAAGCGAACAGATACGCTTACACTTACGTTTAGCTATCCATATCCGTTTTTTACTTACGTGTAGCAAGCGAGATATGCGTGTCGTCTGCATGTATGACGTCATACGCCACTCACTATCGGCTAAACGTGCAGGATAGCTAAACGTAAGTGTAAGCGTATCAGTTCGCTTGCGAAACGTCCCTAATAACGAATTTGACACTCTTTGTGTGTTCACTTTGTCTCCAGGAGCATTATTTGTGTCTGATTTCAAGATCTGGAAACTGTCAGTCCCACACTACATTTTCATGTAATCTCAAATAAAATGTAGTCAATTTTGGGTTTGGGGAATGTCATGAAATGCTCTCACCAAGTTTTGTCTCAGAACTTCAAAATTGATCTGAAGCACACTTTTTTTGAGTGAAAATCTTCGGCAGTGGAGGATATTAGCAGTTGAGCTGTTGGCACTGCTTGCTGCTTCATGAAAAATTACATGATGCTCACCTACGGTTTTGGAGAGACAGACTGTTTTAGGGAAAGGCAACATGTCTCCATTCTGCTTAAATCGCTCATTCATATTGTTCAAATTCCAAAGATTTCACGATTAGGCCAAAAAAAAATAATATTCGGTCTCTGGTCAGACCAAAGTTCCGGAATTGACGCGGCCACGCGGCTTTTTTTTTTTTTGGCTTTTTTTTTTTTTTCTTCAAGCTTGGATTGTACAGACAAGGTGGGTACTATTTTGCTTTTTTGGTGTCCTCATGTACATTGGTGTCCTCCATAATTTGCCTTGGTGCTTTCGATCATTTGCCTTGGTGCAATTTCCCATTCCTTGGTGCTCTTTGGTAAAAAAAAATTAAGGAGGTGCGGAAATAGAGGGCGCCGTTTGGAGCTACCGCGGAACATTTTGGAAAAAAAAAAGATCGACGCGCATGATTAAAATCGACGCGCGCGCTGACCAGAGACCGACTTATTTTTTTTTTTTGGCCTTACTGTCCAATTATTGAATGACAGCCCCTTTTGAATGACAGTCCCCTTGAAAAAAGTTTTAGTGCACAGGTACGTACACATTTACAATGTACGTACCTGTACTTCATGTTTGACAACTTCTCACGCATCGGGTAGCCCAGTCACAGCGGCATGTTGGTAAGTTCATGGACATGTAAGGAAGTGATTTTCCTCCCCGTTAAATTGACTTTAAGAGAAAAAAAAGAAGAAAAAAAGAGAAAGAAAGAAAATGGAGTAGATGCCCACCTTGATGGTCCCGGCTGGAGACCTCCTCTACCTTGGCACTCTGGTGACGCAAGTAGAATTTCACCTCGTTGTTGTGGACGCCCCACTGCCGGAGAATGTCAAAGATGCGCTCCTCGGAATGAATGGGCCGCTCTGTGGAGGGAAAGGAGAAGTGCAAAGCAGGGGTTCAGTGAGTTGCTTGGCACTGAACTGACGTACTGACGGCATTCTTGTACAAGACGTGGGAATGAGCAATAAAGCAAGGGAACAGCGTGTTATTAAGTTTTAAAATTTGATTTTCCTTTTAATTTCAAAGCGTGAAACGAGCAACTTGTGGTCCTGACAAATTTCTGTACCTACTGCAGAATATTTTTCAAGGATGCAGAAAGAATGGTTTTTTTTTTTTTGGAGTTACCGTAATTGACAAAAACAAATGAGCAAACCCTGCTCAACCAACCCCCTAAAAAAGCATGCTATTCTAATTATTTCTCTGAACTGATGTGTATAATGAAATTCTTGTAAAGAATTGACAATGAATAAAGTACATGTAAGAGTCTACGACAGCAGCTTGCAATGTTTCTTTTTTATTAATTGCTCTTCCTTCCAAAAAACCATGAAGTGAACAACATGTGTTCGTGACAAATTACTATAGAGCAGACATTTTTTGAGGTTGTGACAAGAATGTTTTGGCGGTATTTAAAATTGGCAGAAAAACCCTACCTGACGGAGGAAGCTGAAACTTCGCTTACATATTCCTTGTGTCCAGAATTGTGCATGCGCTGGGTTTAGAAAAGGCAATTACATGTATGTCCGTGGGTGGCGTGTTTACCGAAAATAACCTGCAAGTTCTACGCTTTCACTGAAAACATTTTCAGTACGAACTCCCCGCGTGAAGACGTACACGCGCATGCCGTTTGCTGCCGCTTGCTGCCACTAACTGCCGCTTGCTGCCGTGGCGGCAGCATGCTACATGTAGCACCGCGTTCCCACTTGAATTCGGAAAAGGTGGATCAAGATCCAGCATTTTGGTGTGATCGTTATCTTACCGCAACGAAACCGCAAGTCGCGTTTCCACTTATGCTTGATCCACCTTTTCGTACGGAAATGTTGGGTCCGTAAGGTCACTGAGTTCGGAATTACGCGCGCTCTGTGGGAGTGCCATTGTTGCATGGTTGCATGCTAGGCCAGGATGGGTCAGTTTTCAAATAGCACTATCAGAATTCACCGACAAAAATTACGCGAATTCACCAACATAAATCACGGATCCGTAGAGGATCCGTGCGTGCATAAATTAACAGGTGAAATCCAACAGAGCCGCTCATTGTGTGACATCACGGCAGAAACCAATGCATCGATAAGTGATTCCCTGGTTCTGAAGCTTCTCATTGGTTAGAAACGGTCACAAGATGTACTACGACATCAATTTCCAATTTTCTATAATCAATACTTCAGATTTGTCACCTCCGTACGTACCGCGTTATCGGCACTATTCTCATCGCATACTCGTAAGCTTTTCCATGATTCTGTGCCAAAGTGAAGTCTTTTGGTGAGTGCGGACTCGGAGTCATTTATGGATGGAAAAATAAGTACAATTTCAGGAATGAAAAAGGTTTAGTAATGGACGAACACGCAACAAAAATAAGGCCTATAGTGCAGTTTAGGATACCACGTGCGCTTTTGCATGCGCAGTGCTAGCCCGTAGTTCAGCGGTTGTTTATTGTGCATGTTGTATACGCTGGAAATGTTCACATGAGCTACACGCCTGAAAACGTGTTTCTTCGTTCATGAGACCGCAACATTTTCGCGCCACTCGTGCACCGGGCGGATGTTAACAGGTCAAATTGCCGGATCAGATCCACCTTTTGCGTTCCCATCTGATCGTGATCCGGCAATTGCCGGATCTGATCCACCAATTGGGGGATCTGTATCCTGGTCCAGAGGTGGATCAGAAAAGGTGGATCTGATCCTGATCCACCTTATAACGGTTAGCGTTCCCACTACACACAATTGCCGGATCTGATCCACCAATTGGGGGATCTGATCCGGCAATTTGGCAAAAGGTGGATCAGATCCCCCAATTGGTGGATCAAGTGGGAACGGGGTCTAGGTGTGCATGCATGCGCGCGCGTTATCTTCATCACAGGGGGTTCATACTGAAAATGTTTTTAACGAAAGCGTGGGATGGCGCTTTATTTTCGGTAAATACGTCGCCCACGGACATACCGGTATATGTCTTTTCTAAATCCAGCGCATGCACAATTCTGGACACAAGGAATATGTAAGCGAAATTTCAGCTTCTTCCATCAGGTAAAAACATGCAAAAAAATGTGTTATAATTTTTTTCGCTATGGCAGGAGAGATTCCTACCCTGGACTCAGTTGCGTGCACGCAACGGAGTCCAACCTGGGCTAGGTACAAGTACTTGTACGCTTTACCAGTGGCATGTGCATGTACCGTACATGTACATGTAGCACTTTCATGCTGCCCTTGTGAACAGAGTCAAATTTCTACAAACACCTAGTAATGAAAACACAATCCCATTCCCAACCTGATTTAATTTAATTCCTTTGTCCTTCGGGTTTCTCCAAGGGTTCTCACAGTCACACACAGAGGCAGAAATCAAAGTCAACCAGGAAACAGTACACCAAAAGTTTGCGTAAACATTTGTACTCATGCTACAAATCAGTTGATGCTAAAGTACATTGGGTAAAAGTAAAATGTGAATGCAAGGATTTGAATTGAATGTATCAAATTTTGAAAGGAAACGTAAAATGCATACAAGGCAAAAAACAGCCTGCAGACTGGACCGTGTTGTTAACAAGATCCAATTTCACATTCTCCTACATTTGTGGAAAGCTGCAATCTGAGCCACAGATAACCTTGCAAGTGACACCCCCATTGTCAAGTTGACCACACTGATAAGAAACGGTTGGGAAGGGCTAATGTTTTGGAATTCCAAGTACAATAAAAAAAACATACGGAACTGTGAACAATCTGGAAAAGTAGTAAGTATTGGACCAAGTCCGCCAAAATCCATCACTGACCCTGCTTCACATAATGCTTCAGGACCAAATTCACTGAAATCTATTGAAATCCACCACAAGACCACTACTACTATTGTAGGTGGATTTTACATGCATTTACATGTAAAATGGCTGTCCACAACAATGTGGAATTTGACAATTAAACCTCTAACCTTTTTCGAATAAAAATCACCTCACAGACATTTTTTGTCATCTTCTTGAGACGTCGCACATTTCTGAATATTTTTTCATTTACAATGCTATTTATATATTCGGTGGATGATTGAAAATTGAAAAAGTTCAGACGAAAAAGCAAAAGAATTTTTTTACAATTTGCAGGAATTAACATCTAAAGGTCAAACTGCTATAAATGTACCAGACAGAGATTACTAGGGAAGGCATAAACAATCTTGAAACTTGGGATTCCAATGGAGTAAGATCAAAATTAATGGTATACCGCTGGCATACCGCTGGTAAGCCAATGAGGCAGGAATGTGCTAAATTTGATAAAGTTACCATGGTGTTGACATTCTTGTCCTATCAAGTGACACAGGGAGTCCAAAAATACCCCCTATATTTGACAACATTAAAGAACATAATCTCCAATGTCATTCCTTACTGTAAATTGCTTGGAAATTCTGCAGCTTTGGGCGCCTCTTAGTTCAGTAGGCCCTATACATGTATGTGCAAATCCAAATTTATAAACAGTTGGCAGGAACTAACATCCCAACAAATTTATGTACCATGGAGGTTGGAAAAGAAGTCAACAACAAACAGCCAAGTACAATGTACATGTTAACATTTATCTTGGTTTATTTTACTAAGCTTGTTAAGCATGGTTAAAGTTACTGGTTAGATTTATTAAGACTTCACCACTACCATCTTATTCTTAGATGTACTTTCCTGTGTACAATTTCCTAAAAAAATAAAGACCACTGCTTCACCTTTAAAAGAAAAGCATGTATACATACATGTACGTGTACAAAAGCTGGTTGGACTACGTAACTTACCGAAGTGTGAACAGGTAAATGTACCATGAATGTACAAGATTTTATCCAAGCATCTTCCCGGTAAATGCTCTCTTGAAAAAACTCCCAGGCTCCACAAACATCGTTTACGTGCATACATGTATGCCAACAAACTTGTACCGGTATCTATAGAAAGAAATCCCTCTCACTTTTGCTAGTGCTAAGCTGATTTGTGTTTCCTCAGTGAAAGATCCCATGGCCACATTCTCAGCAATACCTTTCATCCAACCCTTTTTCCACAAAGAGGACATCACAAGGCGTTTCTATTCAACAACACCATGGGGGACATAAAAGGGAGTGCACTGTGACAAATTGGGTAAAACAGAGATTGTGGTGTTTTTTTTAAATAGCAAGTCAAAAGGTTTAAATCCGCATACATACATGTAGGTCTGCTGCCAGATTATCTTGTTTGCACTGCCTTCTATGGTTCTGCCTTTTTATCACAACATTTTATAAATGCTTCATAAAAACGATGTCCAGAGATTCCAAACATGCTGACAAATTCACGGTAACTAAATGTGTGTACTAAACTACACACATGCACACCTGGACTTGAACACTTCCTGGTAAAATTCAAAAGCTTTGAAAATGTTCAAAGTTGTACAAAAAAACCCTGCAATGTCACTGTGTACATGTATTTTTTGTATGAATACATTTACATTGTATGTGTACAGGATAAACTTTATGAACTGTATTTTCAGGGAAAGTAACAGTCTATGGTACAGTATACAAAGCAGGAACTTTATACATGTACAACGTGTAAAAGAAATACAATATTTTGACTGACGGTGAGAAATCCAGGCAGGCATATATGAATTTATTTACACTGAGTCCTTACTATAAACCGTCTGTATCACTGTCATAACAAAGGGCTGCCCAGTGCCCAGACGTGTCAAATTTGGAGAGAGAAAAAGACCAATGGTGAATGTTTTACTAACACTTGTAAACACGGAATGTGCAAACAGAGTTGGCGTGCAAAAATACGATTTGTTCCCACGTACCACTAGATGTGAGTCCTGCTGGTTCAATGTGTAGCCCATTCCAAAATAATGGAAAAAATAACCAGCTGGACATAGAATTTCAATGTACACATTTGAACACGTACATGAATGTCAAAGCACATCATTAATTCTAACGCCATCAAAACAACCAACCCAATCCAGCAGAATTATGGGCTTGTAAAACATGTGTGAAATCTGCTCACTGTAATAACACCAAATAGCAAGAACAAAGGCCATTTTGTTCCCTGCTTGGGTCAATGATATTGGTGGGTATTTAAACCCCCCCCCCCAAAAAAAGGGTATTGTTCATTATTGTGTATCATAACCTCAGGGTTCTTACTTGTACTGAGTAATTCATTTGTTCCTCCAGTCAGGGGTGTTTTCTTTTGGTTAGAGTACGGGTACTTCTTTTTAAAGCTATAGTCCATCATTTGCAGCCATCCGAAAAGTAACTGGCGTAATTATTGTTGAAAAACAAACTTGGTTGAAAGATAGTAAGGGGACTAAACTCCCTGTGAAATTATTCTTTCTGGGAAGCTGTCATTTTGAAGTAATCAACGAAAGAAGGCCTTTCCAACGATGCGTCTTAAGACGCACTGAAGGAAAATTTAAATTAGTAGTTTGTTTTGTTATTCGGTGAAGCGGGCACAAGCATTGGCACGACGCACACGGTTGCTATAATTCGTCAGATCAGTGCGCGACATCGTGTATAGCTGCAATCGGCTCAGTGAGAACGTGTCTCAGACGCTGAATTCAAGCCCAATTCAAAACATGATTCAGCAAATTTTGATTTGAAATTGAGATCCTAGAATGCTGTTTTCTCGGAATATACAGCTGAAGCTGAGCTGAAACTTTATCAGGTTAGTTGTTCAGTATCCTTCATTAGATTTTGAACACTTTTGTTGCTTCAAACAAATAAAATGCACAAATTACAAATGATGGACTACCGGTATCTTTAAGGTAACTTTTTTTTACCACCGCTAGATACAAATGTAGCTAGCAAGTCGAATTCCATGCAGTTACTGTCAGAACAGATCAATAACAAGCACCAGACCCTGGTGGAGCACTGTCCACTCATCCCAATTTGATCTTCTTTCCTGGGATGAATTCTTCGAATTGATATTTTTAAAATCCCTCCTCCCCCCCCCAAGTTTTGACCAAACGGTTTGTAAATTTCAGGGGAAAATTACAGAAGAAAATCCTGCAAAAGAAGACCCCCACATTCCACTAAGTTTCCAGACACTACAAAATCTCTCAGGGATTGACTGATGATAATCCCGCAAATATGTTAATCCGGACTTTAAAGGGCTGAGCTGTTAATCTTGAGCAGTGACAGAATAAAATTCCATCCCTTGGAGAGAAAAATAAAGACAGGAATGAGGAAGTACAGATTCACTGAAACTGTCTCATTCTTGGCACTGGGAAAAAAAGACAAGGAAGAGAAAACTGGGCGGTAAGGTGCTTTTTTTTTTTTTTTTATTTCTAATCCACAATGGACCATTTTCATTTGGCACTTAGCCCCCGCCCACCTTTGGTTAGTGTATACTTTCCTCACACAGTTTACGACTGCATTTGACCAAGCTTCTGTGATCACCTGACCAAAAGTTGTGATCTTATTGGTCAAGGTGCACCGTTTGACTGACAGGCCTGTCCAAATGTTACTGAAGGCATGTAATTCACATACATTGTACACTTTGGGCACTAACATTTGTTGAAGCTGCATTTTCATTGTTTTTGCTAAGCCATGCATAAATATAGGCCTGGATTATGCTTGAAATCCTCCGTACTGCTCCAGGATGTCACTGGCCAAGACTCAACTGCTACAGGATTTTGCAGGATTTTGCAGGATTTAGGCAGTGGTCACCCTCCACGGACCATATTCAAGAAATAATGGAGGAATTTGCAGGATGGAGGCTATTTTTCCATGAGGCTAATTAGAGGATTTTGAAGGATTGAGGCTACATCCTAGCAAAAAAGCCCAGGGAGTTATAGTTAAATAGAAATGTTTTTCAGCATTCTTAGCTCTCGCTTTTGATACAGTGTAATCCGGCAAACAAAATCAAAAGCCATTTTTTGAGATGTGCCACGCTCGCGCACATGCAGAGCGGGTTCTTAAAGACGAGGCTGTGGCACATTTTGGTAACATTTTTAGCCCGGATAGGAGTGCATGCATGCGCATGCCTGGTGCCGCTACGGAGCTTTCGTTGATTTAAGAAGTGTCTTAAATCAATATTTTAAAGAAACCACAAATGTAGTTTTTGCATTGTACATTTTGTATATTAAAGCAAATTTACTTTAATCAAAAGTTAATGTTTGTGAAAATGTAATTTTTGCTTTGTAGTCTTGAATGTTTGAGCCTCTAAAATGCTGTCGATACAGAACCCCTCAACTGCTTGAAAAAAAATATAGATATTGAGACTTACCACAGCCTCTCCACAGCTCAGCAAGGTGACAGTGTTCCTCTCCGACCTCCTTGCAGCAATCTACCACATCCCGGCACGTTGTGTCAGGAGTAATAGGCACCTCAGCGACCGCGTCCGGGTTGTTGCTCAGATAAACGTTAACAATCATCTGGAGAAAGAGAACGACAGGAGAACACGTGTGCTGCATGAATGACGGATCGCTGTATTCGGCCGTGCACTGCATATATTTGTGAGGAGTGCCGTCGTGTCACTCGGCCATGCCTTAATTGAGATCAATTACTGTTCAAATTCATGAGATCATCAATTTTATTTTTATACAAAAGAGCTAATGACCAAGGCATGGGTAAACACCGACTGATCTCATCAAATAATTGACATCATCTGGAATACTCTCTGGGCGAGTGTTTTGATATTAACTTGCTAATCAGATTACGGGGGATGTCCGCAATGTATCAATTATATTATTAATTCCATGTAAAGATGAAAGGCAAACACCAAAGTGTAAGGAAATGAGATGAGGTTAAGGATGGGCCGTTTGTTTTTCTAAACTGCTGGTGCACATGTATGGGCATCATGATTCAAATCTTAGGCATGAAGATCTGGACAGCTGCATTTGTCAAACGGGCAGCAATTTAAATACAGCATAAATTTCCGGTATTTTCTTAATATTAAATGCTTTTCAAAAGCATCACACGACATGTTATGACATACTTTACATCACAAAGATTTGTGATTGCAATCTGAAGTATTTATTTTTTTAACTTTGCATACATTTACATATATATAATATTTCATTTTTAATCTTTTTGAAATTGAAAATGAAACCTTTCGTTTGATATCCTAATAGAAACCAATTCAGCTAAATCAAATGACGGAGAGTACCGATATATCAAATTGAGTACATCCTATTATACAAATATTTTTGTCTGGAAGTGCAAACGAATACCCAAACCATGTTATCCGATTTGGTTTATGTTAAAATCCCTTTTAACACTAACACGACGTTAAATACAAATGTTTATTTCAAAATTTTGCGAAGTTCACGTTACTGTACATACACTTCGTTTAAAAAGTAAGACAACCATGAAAAACATCATTTTAATTTCAAGCCAACAGATGTTTGTACAAAATAAGTGTAAATAGATGTAAATCAGGATGCAGAAAGTAATGTGGGAAGAAACTGTCATTACAGGCCAAAATTACATACTGTATGCTGGTATAACATAAATGTGTTCATACCCAGTACATGTACCAGTACAGTTACATGTAAATTATATGATGATGTAAGCAACCTTGTAGCACTAGCAGTACTTACTATTTGTGTGGTTTAAAATTTAAATGTCAACAGAGTTGTTGATACGCACGACTGCACTTTGTACTGCCCTTCTAAATGGCAGCTCACCCACAAACTGCACAAACTGGTGGGTAACGCTTCGTACAACAGTGTGTGTAGACCATATGGGCCAGATTTTGAATGGCCGTGTTTACAATAAAGTATGCATACTGCTCGTATCCTTCTACACACACACGCCTGACTTCAATCTGAATGGAGCTAATTTTGCATATGAATGACGCGGAAATGAATGCCTTCTAGAATCTAGACCAAGGACTGAGACTGGTCAGGGAAATGAACATTTTTACCTTGCAGGGGAACTTTCAAAACCGAAACTGGTGTTTCGCATACAAAAACTGCATTCATGAACAAACACTGCAACGTATGAGCAGTACTTTATATTGAACAAATAGGCCAATAAATTCACGGAACTTACTCACAGAAAATGTATGATTTAGCCTGTTTCTTACCAGTAGCAAAAGTGGGGCAGATTGGGGAAATATTTGGAGGAATTGTGCCTTTGATGATACACTACATTTTTGTACAAGTATGGAATTTGGCACACAGTCAGAGTATGTCATGAGAAATGTAGGGCCATTGCAGATTTGTCCTTTAAAAAAATATACATGTAGGTACAGGATAACAAGCAATTTTCAAAATTTTCAAAATGGCTGCCATTGCTTGTTTATTCTACCAGTAGGCCTACCTATTTTTTTTTCAAAGGACACATCTGCAATGGCCCCAATAGCCAAATATCTTTCTCATGACATTCTCTGTTCCTTGCTCTATGCTCAGCTCCATGCTGGTACCGGTATCATCAAAGGTACAATCCCATCACCTACGTACATACATGTACATACCGGTACCTACCGGTACCGGTATATCTGCCGTACAAGACAGACTTCCTCCGTTATCAGAAAATTTAACCCGTTATCCGAAAACTTTTAACCCCTAACATATTCTATGAATTTGGAAGATGAACACTCATTTTTTGAGAAAAAAAATGTCACTAAAATCGATAGAGCTTATTTCCTGACTTTATAAACAATTTCCCATGTTTTGGCTGGATTTAAAAATAATTTTCCTGAACAATTAAATTAATAAAGCAACAAAATTTGAGGAGTTTTTTAAAACTAATTAAGGAACTTTGTGTAATAGATTGGTCCATCAGTCATGCGTGGCAACTGCATTTATTGCGATCAAATCCCAAAAAGGCTGAGCCAATAAATTGACCTACCAGTACATGTACATTTTTGTACACGTATGTTTACCGGTAGAAGTGAGCATGCAAGGATTTCTAACACTGCTACCACTATTTTTTTTTGTAGGAAAACTACTCACTTGTAGCTGTCTTGAAAGTGAAACAGACACTTAATTCACACCTCACTGCACATTAAACAACGTAGTTTTAGATCAACAAATAATTTCCAAACAGTCTCTCCTCAAATTTGCCAAGTGTCAATTTACAAGACAGCCACGCATGACTAGCGAAGTATGCCAAGCTGATATGGAATGTAATTGAATTACTCGGGGCTGGTTATCATTACAAAATAATCAAAGCCTTCCCAGTGTTTATTTACAGGAATTGCCAACTGTCTGCAGCAGCTACAGACATACTTTTCTTTTTATTCTAAGACAGCGATCATCACTGCCAGTGAGCCACTGCAAAATTATTTTTTCGAAAATGTCTTAAGAGATCTCCCAAAAGTTTTCTATTTAATACAAACAAAAAAAGTTTAAAATTTGACAACTACACTTAAAATTAACTGCTTCATAAATTGTACATAATGCATAGCATTAGGACAACTCCCCCCCCCCCCCGAAAATAATTATTGCGCCGTTACTGTGTAACACCCTAAAAATTATTGAATGATTGAAGGTATGTACAAAACTGTACATGTACAATGTAGACCTGTAGGTAACTTTTGCAATATTTGTCTATCAGTTTATTTAGGCCAATACATTTTTAATTTGTTAACTTCGGGACACCTTCAATGGCTTAATGTTAATTAACTTATTTTATTGTTTAATTAACCAATAAAATGAGTAACATACCCAACAAATTACGGAAGGATTTCCATATACGAAGTTCACTCAACACCCTGTGTACAAACCCTATGAGATTGGACTGAAAAATTCTAAGTGTTTTCTAAGAAAATGCTTGTATTTTCTCACTGCTCAAATTGATTTTGATGACATGAAATTGCTATCTGGGGGCTTGTTAGTCAATACAGAGGAAAATTAGTGAACTTCGTATATGGAAATCTTTCCCAAATTACAAAGGGAAGATTTTTTTTCTCAAATATACCTTAGTTTAAATGTTTGGCCCACTGACTAAACGAGGCAATAAAAACTGTGAGGTCGGCAATTTGGCTGCACAGGTGTATGTAGGTCAGGTAAAACACACAATTTACACATCATTGTCCATATCTTGGCACTTTTGTGCACAGCACCTGAAATTCTGAGGTGGACAACCAGTGAGCAGTGGGCAAAGCTGTCAAAGGGGTCACTGTGTTTATAACCATGACCCTATGGAGACCATAATGACCTAAACGAAGTTCATATACATGTAAATTTGCAAGTGCGGGCAAGGTCAGCACAGTTTTTTATTGACTAACTTTCCCTTTCCCCCCTTGTTTCATATGTACAAGATCGTACGCCATATTAATTGCACACGTAACAAGTTTAGCACTTTCACAAAATTGGAAGATTTTGATACATTAAAGCATGTTGGATCCAACAAGTATAAACTTCAAACTGTATACATTGTACATGTCTGTAAACTGTGTGGAACAATATGAATTTTTTTTCACAGTAACGATCATGTTTTAAAGTTTAATTCTGGGTTTAGCCAGCACAAGTTCATAAGCACTGCACTGCATAATCTGTGCTGTCTGTGCTGTGCTAAGACAAGTTCAATATTTTTTTTAATACTTTGCTAGCTTGAATGCACAACTAACTTCCCCTTTATACTAGTACAGCGTAGATGTCTGGCCAGTGTCAAAATTAAAGTCTGAATTTCTCCCCACACCTGCATGTAATAGTATTGTACACAAGTCCCAAGTAAAAGTTCAATTTAGACTGCAAAATCAGGTTGACAGGTCCACGTCCACCGTACCTAAACAAACATGCCAAAATCCAAATGTTTCAGTACAAAACAAGAACAGTAAAATTCAAAGGTATATACCTTGAAAAAAATTTTCAAAAAGGAAGTTTTTAAAAATTTTCCCCATAGTACCTAACGTAACTCACTGGGTACAATGTACTCGTGTCAAATCATTGACTTAATTCACAATAATCTAAATTTATTCTTAATTTTAAGGTAAAAATGAAATTCATGTAATCCTGTACAACTTATTCCTGTAAGTTGTTACAGGTAAACAAACATGCAGCTAGCACGTCACCTCTTTTCTTTGCCAAGCTTGGCTTAGTTTTAAGTGGTCCACAAAACAGAGACATTTCTTCACCACTACGACTACGACAGAAACGTTTCAAAACAATACACTACATTCAAACTACAAAGAAAAGAGACAAACTGAAATTGGTCCGACAAGGTACATGTACATGGAAGAAGGAAAATTAGGCCCCTATCTCCCATTTGCAAAGCGTGCAAATGTACAGAGTGCGAAGTTGACAGGGCAAAGCCACAGCACCACACGTACACTGCACACACACCGACCGCGTCACGTAACGTAACAACCACCGCCACAGGTTGAACGGTAACCACGAAGGACGCAAGGTCGCAAATAAAATACCGAATTTGAATCGAATTTCTGCCTACCTACCTGTGTACTTGGAAGGTGTGCCATTACTAGCGGCCATCTGCCACGCGTTCCATTTCACAATTTCAAGTGAATGTTTGTGTCAGACTGTTTCTTCCAGGAAATAAAACAGGGCAGAAAAAAATACGAGTGTAGCATTAGTTCCAATGTCCAAGCATTAATGCCGGTTTGCAAGCCGCTAGCCAAACTGCATCGATATAAAACACCGCAACTAATGGCTCGTGAAAATGTGGCTGGTAGGCGTCCTTTCTGTATACGATCAGCGTTGCGCGAGCAAACGAGTACCAGTGTTACTATCGGATTGTTCGCGTCGCAGGTTGTTCATGATCGAGCAGCGGCTTCAACGGTATGACCTATGCTTAGCTGTCATACCGTTATCACCACTTTGAAAATTAATGTTCTGATTTCAGGGCCGCTTGTTGAAGTCATTAAATAAAATAAAAGAAGTTTGTGTGGAAATCCCGCTTGAGTCAATTTCTCCGTCAAACTTCGGAAAGGGTAACCAAGGCCATTTTTTTTTTAAGGATGAGGGCGCTCTACCGTGCGTGCTCTTCAAAAAAGGGCATTTTTTTCCTCCTATAACGAATTTTCAATTTGTGCTATATAATTATAAATCATTATTTATTTCACTAAAAATAAAAGAATGTACACAAAACCTAGGACACGGTTTTGAAAACCAAAACACTTGCAGGGTGTTGGACACACAACGAAAAACTGCGGATTGTGGGTGTCTGCATCCCTCTAAAATCAGGGCTTTCAATTTTGCCCACACATATATGAACCCTCCCTGGCCCTGCAACACTGAGCCGAATTGTCTGGCAGCTTATAATTTGAATGTTGCGAAGAAAAACATTTAATAACTTGAAACGTCGTAAGATATTTTCTCGTTCGATATCTCATTCGAAAAGTGAATAACTTTTATATTGCCAGGAAAATAGCAACTACAAAAAGCTCGAAAATACGAAAGGGAACCCATCTTGTATGTACATTTTTTGAACTATGTTATCATTGTGTAAATCTATTGATTCATGTCTTTTTATGCCCAAAATGGGGTCGTTAAAGCGTTCTCGTTTGCTAAAGAACACAAGGATATTACTGCCAGTGTTGCATTATTGTCCAAGCGATGTTCCCGGCTGGTCCCTAGTAGTGTGTATCACCCGTTGTCCAACAAAGCTTTATGTGAGCAATGCATATTATTTTTATGCGACCTCGCGCACCAGCTAATCGGAGTCGACTTTAGAAACTGTGACGTCATTTCGATCAGAAATGTGGACCGAGCTGTTGATTGGTCAATTTGACTGACATGTTTTTCTAAAACCGTACAACGGGTTACGGAAGTTAAGACCCGATAGAAGGCGCCCGCTGAATGGTCCGAATCTAGACGCAGTCCGGATCTGCGCGATCATAGATATATAGATATAATTGTGTGCAAGAGACTAATCCATACCCCCCCCCCCCCCCCGATGGGGATTTAATCACCCCGAAAACGACATTGCCGTTCGAGGTGTAGGGATGCTGCTAGCAGTTGGCCCACTTCAAAATTCAGTCTCCGTCGTTAATCGGCTAGCTGCGGTGCGCGGACCACGCGTCGACCAGCACAGTAAGATCCGAAATGCGACAGCGCCGACAAGTCCTTAAAAATGGCTAAATAATTGAAAACGGGACATAAGCCGATTCGGCTGATGTTGATCTAATTATTCCAAATTTTGTGGATAGGTAGGTGGATATATACCCCCCCCCCTCACACACACACACACACACAAGCACAAACCATTTCCTGTGAGGGGGATAGAGACATGGCACTTTCGTGGTGCGACGCGTCGACGAGCCACTAGCCATTGCTAGCAGTGTTGGTGGGGGCGCCCTAACAGACCAACGGACAGATCATACATTCCATCGATTCTCGAAATCTTCAAAACTGACCGTTGGAAGTACTACATGTAGGATGATGTAGTGTGGAAAGTGATCCCTGTTTGTAATTGTACATCTTAAACCAAAATTCAACAACAATCTTAGTGGGTTTCATTAACACCAAGAAACATAGAAAGTAATAAGTTAATAGGCCGACGTAATAATTGTTCTGTACTTGTCTTATTTTTTCTCTCTCTTGAGTTTATGATCTGCCTGGGGCGTCAATACGGTAGATTGGTGTTGGAGATGACAACCCCCTCCCCCAACCTTCCGTCGGCAAATATGGCACAACGAATAGCGCCACCGGCCCGTAGGCCTACCTATTGTCCGAAAACGTTCAAAATCATCCGCATTGTACAGCCAGCTAGCTTCTCCCAATTTGTCAGATATCTTATTTATTCAAATCGTATACGTTTATGTACCTCCCCCCCCCCTTTCACCCACCCACACACACTTTTTTATTTTACTTTGCAGGAACCGACCGACCGGAGAAAATCAACGTACCTTACCGGGAAAAATCAACGTACCTTAGTGCAAGGAGTGGTCTGTCGGTATTATTTTTGTCGATGTCATGCATCCATTGAACTTGTTCTTCGGTGATGGAACCGTGATGCCCGTGGTTGTCCCTGCAGAAATATGAAGATCAGCTGTGGCAACAGTGGCATATCCTAAAAATTGGCGAAATAATTGAAGACAGAATCAATAAATCAAAAATGATTTGGCTGATGTCGATCCAAAAATTAAAAATTGCGTACAATTGAAATGCTCCACTTTATTAACTTCATTTTTTTATGAGTGATCTACAGACTGTGAATAATACAAATAACTATATGCTACAGATCGATAAATTAACTTTATTTCGGAATACATTACCACAGGTTTATTGAACTGTGTCTCCTCTGCGCCTGTGTGACGACTCTACAGGGTAAATCCCGGCGTTGGGGGTGGGTGGGGTGGGTGCCGGGTTGAGGGATATGTAACTCCCCCTCCCCCCCTCCCCCACCAATTATTTTTGTGCGGGGGTACAATATGGATACGGGGAAAGGGACAATGCAATTTGTCGTGCGCACACGAGTGAGCGAGTTCCAGACATCAAAGACTTCACCGCAGTAGATCCACCGAACCTTAACACTTGCCTCGTACTTGTCGTAGCCCAACTTGTGACTCTAAGCACCCGACTCTAAACCTGTCGTCTCGTAGGTGCAGGCCCGTGTCGCCGACTATAATTAGCTTCAGGCTGCCGTCTGTAACAAACATAATATGATAAATATTATTTTCAGTCTCACGTTAGAATAAAACTTTGTCACTAAATTCCATCTACGTGTATTGCCAATATATACGCACAACACGGAAATAGTCTATACTCTAAGCATTATCATCAAATAAATGCGAGAATCAACCATTATTTATAAATGTAGTACATTCAGATTCATCAAGAAATGTGGGCAAGTTCACTGCGTGCGTTAAATATAATAAAACCATCACCAAAGTTGTTTTTGCTCAAAACCAGATTTTATCAAATATTAAATAACAAACCCAATTAATTATGCAGAAATAAAAGATACTTACAGTTCGGGATTGGATGGTAAGTGCCATTTGTTTGCAACATTGGATGTTGTGGTCACGGTGATGCCAACTTTCAGCAAACGGTTCGCTTTTGCACTGCATGTATATTCTTGAAATAATGAATGGTTTAAAATTGGGACAAACAAAAGATGCTTAAATGTTCGGGTTGCCCGACGGTTGCCTATCGGCATGACGCCACCAAGGGCGGATCCAGAACCATTTTTTTTGGGGGGGGAGGGGGTTAGGAAAGAGGGCTCGATTATTTGTTTTTCCAAAAGGGGAAGGGGAATAAGTGCCATATATAAGTATAAGTGCTCTATTTCCACTTTAATATTAAAACTAAAAGGTATATGTAGCTGCATGGGCGTCGCCAGGATTTTTTTCCGGGGGGGGGGGGAGGGCAAAGCAAATTCCCCCCCCCCCCCCCAAATTCCTTAACTTTTTCATTATATTCTCAATTTATCATTTTTCCTGGCGTGATCAGGGGAGCATTTGCCCTACCCCCCCCCCCCCCCCCCCCATCAAATCAACGGCAACATGGCTTCGCACTTTTTTTTTTCTTTTTCTTTTTCGGGGGGGGGGGGGGGCAAGCGCCCGCCCCCCCCCCCCCTCGCGACGCCCATGTGTAGCTGAAATACGCAACATTGTTTTTGCGATTTCCTTAAAAAATCAGACGCCAATGGACGTCGCAGTGAACATGGTATAAGAGTCCTGCTTAGTCCTCTTGATAATTGTTTTCGCAATTTCCGGCGTCTTCCCGAGTCCTCTTGAAATCTTGATACATCCCAATCTTCCTGAGTTTTTTTAAATCTTGAAACGTCTTGAGTTTTCTTGAATCTACCTTGTAATCTTGTAATCCGGAAATCTTGAGATCTGGGTAAAGTATCTGGAACTCAACTCAATCTTGAGATTTCCTTAAAAGAGTGTTCCGGGTTCCTCTTAAAATATTGAAGCTTTTTGATTTGTCTTGAGTCTTCTTGAAAATTTAACATCTCGTGAGAATCTGTTATTGTATTCTTCAAATCTTGAAATCTTATAAAGTTTACAAACTGAAATCTACCTGAGTCATCTCGAGTTTTGCCGAATCTAGTCTCCTAGAGTGCTCTTGAAATCTTGAAACCTCAAGGGTCATCTTGTAAGTTTCAAACGTCTTGAGTTTTCCTTAATCGATCCTGAAATGTTCAAATCTGCAAATCCTGTTAATATCTCTTCAAATCATTTCCTGAAATCTACCTGAACCATCTTGAAATTTTGAAATCTTCTGAATATCATATCTTGAAATAAGCCTGAATTCTGTTCAGATTTCCCGAACTGAAATGTCCCAATTGGTCTGACATATTAAAGCTGCTTGAGTTTTCCTGAGGCCTCTTAATCCTTGAAACTTCTTGAGCCATTATTATATTTTGCAAAACCCCGAAAATCTTGAAACTTTGAAATATATTTAGTCCTGAAATCTACATAATATCAAAGTTTCCTCAGTTTATATGTTTATTCCTGATTCCTCTTCCAATCTTGAAACTTCCTCAGTCTTCCCGAGTGCGCTTGAAATCTTAAAATTCATCTTAAAATCTGCCAACTTGAAATTTTGTTATTTTATTATGAAATCAGCCTGAGTTCTGTTGAGATTCTTGGAGTCTGAGTTTCCTGATTCCTATGAAATATTGAAGGTTCTTGAGTTTTCCTGAGTTCCTCTTGAAAATTTCTTCTTTGAAA